AAAAAAAAAAATCACATGTAAAAGAGATACATCTACAAAATCATATGAGTTAACTGTCATTATTATCTGGTCATAGCTTAAGTCATTCAAATCCTGTGTTTAATGATGAAGGAACAAAAGGAAATTTTACATATATGGCAAAAAGTGAACAATCCACAACATGATATATTTTAATGTTAGCCAAATAAAAATGTATAGAAACATAGACTAAGTGTGAATGCAAATTCATAAAAATGAAACATTTTTGAAATGGTTTGCAAACAAGAAACTTTAAAAAAGCGCAATGATTATTCCTTTTCTCCAACTCATTTAATATTGTTCCATCTTAGAATAATTAAATGTATAAAATTAATTCTGTAAAAGTGACCACAAAATACAGGTCATTCCAATGGTATCACCCGTATCACCAGCATTTAGCAAAACCCTCACTGCCAAAGAAGTCAGCAATACAACATTCACAACCCTCCAATTCTGCTTAAACTTACCTATATTTTATTCTAGAATATAGGAGCTGCTGGCCTACAAGAAAATTCCTAACCTCCTACCTAATCATGCATTGTTTCTAAATTACCTCTTATTATACTCTATAAAACTTCCTCATAAAAATGAACAATAAAGTAAATATACATATATAAATTAATAAAATAAAAGCATGATTATAGTACAATCAATTACACATGTTAAAAAGGAATAAATTCCATTGAAAACCAAAAATAAATTGATTAAAAAATGTGTAAAATCTTAGTAGGCACATGAATGTAAAGAAAAGAAAGCAAAATCAAGTGAAAGTTATGTTTGTACACTTGTGCTTCCCTATTTTAACAAGATGGCATTGCTTTAGCGTTTTAACTTCAAAGTTCAAAGCATCAATCTTAATACCACCCACTTCTGATTTGTAGGGAAAAACTGCCTCTTGGCAGTTATTATACTTATTATTCTTACAATTTGTTTTCCCAAGAACATTCTTTCTGACTAAAAAAAACAGAGTTTTGATACCAAAAATCACAATTCAGGAAACTTCTACCTCAAAATTGTTCTTTTAAAATATACTTAGTCACATATTGACCACTGACCACTGGCATTTCCAGTTAAAATAAGACTTTTTTTAATGTTTGAATCACAAAGTATCATTGTTTACTTTACAAAAAAATAAATGTCACTTTGAAAAATTTTTCCAGTCTCCTCATGGTCAGGATGTTAAGCCAAAATGGCAGGGATAGAGGAGTCTCAGTTACATTCATAAAACCTGTTTGGCTGGTTTCTAATAAAGAGTATGAAGTAGATATTTAATTTTTTTTATGGTTTTGGGACAAAATGGTAGGTCACTGAATATACATACCTAGCTACATCATAGGCTTGTTCTTTTTAATATGTGTGACATTTTGAGATGTACTTATTTATGTTTACAGAACTGGGGTACAGGCCAGAGAAGCAGGGTGGTGAGAGGATTCACCAAAGACAGAGTGGGGAAAAGAACAGGCAGATCGACAAAGTACACTGCTGAGGGGAGAAACTGGCAGGTCAGGAGAGGTCTGCCGCGCCATGTGGGCCAGCTACCTGGCCAGGATGGAACTCGTGCTACAGTGACTTAGGAGAGCTTCATAATGTGATGGTTTAACCCGTTGTGCCACCAGGAGAGCTTAAAATGGAGGATTTTTAAGAGAAAGCATCTGTAACAATTATTACCCTTGCTCTCAAATGACACAGAATATTTTTTTCTATGCACTAATTAACCATGAGTTTTTGACCCAACTATCCTGTTAAATTCCAGTCATTATAAGAAAAAGAAAACAAACAAACAAACAAACTCTGCAAAACAAACTCTGTCTTCTAGTAGACGAAGTCTAGGGACAGCAGAAATGATAAAACCACAAGAAGTTCAGATGAACTATATACCCCACCCCCAAATGCATTTCCTTATATTCTAATTCTGAATAATTTAGAATGTGACTGAACCTGGGGACAGGGCTTTTAAAAGGTAATTAAGTTGGGGCCTTCTCTGGTGGCTCAAGCACTGCAAGCTGGCCACAGCACTGTAAGCTGGCTGCAGCTGTTTCAGTGCAAGTTCGATTCCCAGCCCTGGAGGTGGCACACATGGTGTGGCAGACCTCTCCTGACCCACCTGCTGCTCCCCTCAGCAGTGTATTTCGTCAATCTGCCTGTTATACTCCCCACTCTGTCTCTGGTGGATACTCTCACCCCCACTGCACCTCTGGCTTGTACCCCAATTCTGAATGCATGAATAAATAAATATTTTTTAAAAAGGTAATTAAGTTAAGATAAAGTCATTTGGGGACTGTGACCCAGTATGACTGGGTTAATACAGAGGAAATTAGGACAAAGTTAAGGTAGAGGATAGACCAAATGGTGACAGATGACTCTCAGAAGACACAGGCCTCACAAGAAAGTAACCCGATTGAAATCTTGACCTCAGACTTACACCAGAATTGTGAGAAATTAAATTTCTATCATTTAAACCATCCAGTCGACAGTACTTTTTCAATGGCAGCCCTAGCAAAGTAACAGTGCAATTTTAAAAGAGAAATACGTGTGTTAATGTGTCTAAACACGTATATGTTAAATGTAAATAGCTGTTGGAACATCTATCAATAGACTAAAAAACATGCAAAACCAACACTTAGCAAAATATCCAGTAGTGCTGTCAACAGAAGAAATGAGTTATGATGGGCATGTGTGTGAGGGAATTTGCAGGATGCCAGAATAACAAGTCAAGGAAGATAGAAGACTTGTAGGTCACATGTAATGGAATGAGCTCGATGTTGGGAGCGCACCACATGGCAAGAGCTCTCTCTGGGACTTGTAATGGCCACACCAATAAGATACAAATGCTACTCGTGGTGATTTTGATTTTTTTTACCTAGTTCAAAATACTAGTTGCTGAAAAAGACTGAATCACTGAAGTTTTAAGCTGCTGCTAATAT